CCAATCAGGAAATCAATCATGATCAGACTGGTGAAGGAACAGGATCGGGGTCTCAGGGACAGGGTGATGTAGGGACTGCAGGGGCTGGCATGACTACTGCTGAGAGGGTTCCTTCTGTCCCAGGGAGGCTGGGAGGAAGAAGGGAGTCAGGCGAGCTAGGGAATGGGATTTGCAAGAAAGAGCTGCAATGTATTTACACCAACACTAGGAGCATGGGAAACAAGCAGGAAGAGCTCAAGGCTCTCCTCGGAATAGGCAGATATGACCTGGTGGGGATTACAGAAACATGGTGGGATGAAAAGCAGGATTGGCATGTTAACACAGAAGGGCATGTTCTTTTTAGGAAGGAAAGGAAGGGAAAGCGTGGAGGAGATGTAGCGTTATATGTTAAGGAAGGGATAGGGTGTAATGAGACATAGAACAGGGTAGAAGGGATCAGGTAGAGGCGGTGTGATTAAGACTGATGGGAGACCAAGGAATGGATAGTGGGGCTATGTTGTCACCCACTGGGTCAACTTGAGACCCTGGACAATGCTCTGATAGACCGGACTGGAAGAGTATCCCAGTGGAGGGACACATAAAGTGATAAAAGGAAACTTTAACTTTCCTGATATTCGTTGGGAGACATACATAGTGGCATCACCTGGGTCCCACTGCTTCCTAGAAGCTATGGGGGGATGGTTTTTCACCCAGAGGGTCCAAGAGGAAATAAGAGGTAGGGGGAACATCCTAGATTTGGGTCTCACCAACAGGGAGGATCTGGTGGATGATGACTAGATTAGGGGAACTCTGGATGCAAGTGACCACTCCATTCTATGCTTTGAGATCAAGGGTACAGGGATGAGCGGTAGGTCAAGTACTAAGAGCTGGGACTTCTCAAGGGCCAACTTCAGTCAGCTGAAGGCCAGGCTGAGGAAAGTCTCCTGGGAGAGGGTACTAGAAGGCAAGGGGGTTCAGGAGGGGTGGATGACTCTAAAAAGCGAGGTCTTGCAGGCACCAGCCTTAACAATACCACTGATTAGCAAAGCAGGGAGGCATAGGAGGGCACCATCACAGATGCAAAGAAAGCTTAGAAGGAACGTGGACCTCCACAGGAAATGGACATTGGGGCAAGTGGACAAAAGGGTATACCAGGCGGAAACAGCATAACGCAGAAGGATTTTTCACAAGGCTAAGGCTGAATATGAGCTGAGACTTGTCAAATATGTCACGAGCAACAAAAAGGGCTGCTACCTTCATGTAAATGGGAAAAGGGAAACAAGCTGTGAGACCACTTAACAGGGTAGGGATGTGGAAAATGATGAAGGGAACAAGCACAGATGTTAAAGTAGCATGGATTCTGAAAAAAGAGATCCTGCTAGACAAAACTTGTGGAATTCTATGATAAGGTCTCAAGGTGGCTAGAGGGGAGGCAGTGGATGTGGTTTACCTGGGTTTCAGCAAGGCCTTTGACAAAGTGCCACATGATATCCTGGTTGAGAAATTATTGAGCTTTGGGGTAGATCAATGCACTGTCCAATAGATTAGAGCATGGTTGACACACCACAAGCAGAGGGTGACTATCAGTGGGGAATCATCAGGATGGCAGCTGGTGACAAGTGGAGTACCCAGGACTAAGTTCAAGGACTGATTCTGTTCAGCCTTTTCATCAATGACCTGGAGGAAGGGATAACCAGTCTGGAGACTTAATTTGTGGATGATACCAAAGTGAAGGCAGGTGATCCAGATCCAAACTGAGGAGCAGGTGATCCAGATCCAAAAGGATCTGAACAGGCTGTGGAAGTGGACAGGGGGCAACAGGATGGCATTCAATGTGGATAAATGCAAGGTCTTGCACTTGGACAGAGGAACAGGAGTCACAGGCACAGGATGGGTGACATAAGTGGTTGGACAACAGGGATCCCAGGGTACCTGCCAACAGCAGGCTGAAAATGAGCCAGCAGTGTAACATGGTGGTTAAGAAAGCAAACGTCACCCTTGGATGTATAGCCAGAAGCATGGCTTCCAGATACAGAGAGTTGTTGATAAACACTCTACATGACTGATGTACCTACAACTGGAGTACTGTGTCCAGTTCTGGGCTCCACAGTATTGGAGAGACATTAAATAGGTTGGCATTGGTTCATCGCAGGGTCACAAGAATGGTAGCCAGGTTGGATGACATATAAGGAGAGATTGGAGACCTGGGTCTTTTCTGCCTGGAGAAGAGATGATTCTGAGGGGATCTTTTAGCAACTTATAGGTAGGTGAGGGGAAGTCATGTGGAGGAGGGCCATGACCTGTTCTCTGCAGTGGAGGCAGGAGGTGTTCCAATGGGGCAAAGGAACCAGGCTTCAGGTTGGATGTCAGGAAATACTTCCTGATGGTTAGGACCCCTAGGATATGGAATGGGCTTCCAAGGGAGGTGGTTGAGGCCCCATCAGTGAGGGTGTTCAAGGAAAGATTAGATAATCACATGTTGGGGATTAGATGAGTGGAGCTGGCTGGAGCCAGGGATCAGACTATGGCCCAGGGGACCCCTTCTGACTCACTTTGTTTCTATATTTCTGGAATAAGCTATCCAAGAAGCAGCAGACTCCTAGAGTACAGTGACTCCAAATTTCCATACACCCTTTCCAGAAAATACAGTGGTTGATTGCATTGAAAGCCCAAGAGAATCAACAGAATCATACTTCCTCTGACCTTCTTCCAGAAAGTCATAATCTAACAGGGCACCCAAGGTACTGTCCATTCCAAAAGCAGACTTGAAGCTGACTGAAATTCATCTAGAAAATCTGTTTCATTCAAGAGTATCTGGTATTGACCAGCAACTACCTGCTCAAGCACCTTGCTCAGAAAGGGATTACTGACTACTGGCCTACAGCTGTTATCATTGTTTAGAGTTATATAAGCATTGTTTCATCCTCACACAATCCACCAAGTACTGAACATCACACCAAGCCATGGTTATGGCTTGATTCTTCAGGATGGTGCCTGTAGGTAAACCACAACTTGCCACAGCTATCATGTGAACAAAATCTACTTGTTTCAACTGTCCTCCTTCTACTCCAGCTGTCCAACACATTTTACTTATCCTATTTTCAACCTTACACCAACTTGAATTACACCATTGCTCAGAATAACATAAAATTAAGCATGCCAAATGGCTGGATATTAGCCTGTCTTTAAACAGAACAAGCTATGTATATCACATTGGATTGTGAAGCATGATTCTGTAAGTTTGTACATATTTTTATGCATTTGACAAAGCATAAAATTTGGAAGCAAAAACTAAGAAGTAAACCAGACAATGACTACATTCACATGACATGACAAGCCATCATGGATGACAAACAACACTGGGTTGTCATGCCATGCAAACTGGAACCAATTCCTTTAGGATGGCTTATTTAGGGGCAATAAGCCATCTTAACAACCCATGGTTATAACTGGGATTGCTGGAACCACAATGGGTTACTGTGTTGTCCAAGCATGAGCAACCAACTCAATTCTGGGTTTATTTACTGTCCAATAGCCAAGACTATTGCAAGAAGCAGCTAGCAAGCCACTTAGCAAGGGGAACAAGAATCACTTGCTGTGCTAGTCTGGGTTACACCGTGCCAACTGCTCCAATATTGCCCAAGTGGTACAGTGCACCACCCCCTACCACAATTGCAAGTCCTTTTGTTTACTGCAGCATTTTCCTCCTGGAGATCACTTTTCATGATTTGAGTTGGTAACTAGTGACCAATCTTTCAACGTGTCCAAATGGCACTGCGCAATTGCAAAATTCTGCAACTCTGAAATGGCAAGTCTTGCCTGGACAACCTCCTGGAACCCACCATGGTTACTGACCCAGAGAGGCTGCAAAGAGCTTTACTTTCCAGTTTGCTTTCTTTTGATAGTTGTTAAGAGAAGCAAAAGCCAAGAATGATCTTTGTACATGAAAAGTGGTACAGTAGTTTCAGGATTCTTTAATAGGAAATGTCCAGGAATTAGTGCACATGTAGCCCTGTCTGGAAACCCCTTTTAAAAAGAACTGGACTTCTGAAAGTCTCCAGTCAAAGAGATGACCTCCACTTTTCCACTTTTCCATTCACCTAAAGTTTCAAGAAAGGGTGAAAAAGAGCCTGACAAGAGTCAGGTTCAAAAACAAAGCAGCAGCAACAACCAGAACCAAAACCCTAGAGGATCTTGTTGCAAAGGGTGTGATCAACTAGCAACCCCTTTCATGAGCAATGACTGCCTATAGCTTTGGCTTCTCTTGGCAGCTGTTTTTGACAGTTGTCAAGAGAAAGCAAAATGAAAAATAAACCTCTTGGCAGCCATTTTTGGTCAATGCCCATGGAAGAAGCCTGCTGTACTTTGACAGCAGAGGACTCTCTGGCTCTATCCAGGTGAAGATTGCCATTTTGGCTTCCTACAAGACTGTACAAGTCTGACTAAAAAAATTAATGTAAAGTGAGCTTGAAAATATTTATTTAAATTTCTTGCACAATTTTTTAGAAAGGTAGTGAAGCAATGAAAGTTCCCTCCTATGTGCCACTTGAGCACTCTGAAGGAGCTGTCGCTAGCTGTCAACACAGACTGGAAAAAGTTATCTCTGAAAAAAGTGTGTTTGTGGAAGTCCACACAACATAAGCCACAGCAAATGCGAAACATTTCACCATCACAGCAGTGGGAAAGGGGACAAGTTGGTCTTGCTGTAGAATCCCTTGGAATATCTACAAAAATACTGAGAGGGGAAAATGGCGCCAACCAAATGGTGAGCCCATTTGTCTGTTGGGTATATAGTGGGTTGTTTCATGAACAATCAACAATGAACAGCTCATATGAGAAGGGAGGAGGTTAACATGACATGCAAACCTGCTCAATTGAAAGTAATGATTTACAGTCTGATAAAAACAAAAGGGAAAGCTAAAAAAACACACACACATTCTGCAGAATGCTTTCTATTAATACATTTTAGTTGCTTAAATCCAAAGTCAAACCTTGCTGACTAAATATAGTCCAACACTTACCAACTAATATGTGTTCAATGTTAAGTGTACTACAGCTCTGTACATTGTGGCATTCTCAAACCAGCATGCAGCATCTGAAGAATGTGAAGTTAACAGAATCTTTTGTTTTGTTGGATCACACAGAAGCACAAGGGGGAGCTACACTGCCTGTACAGAAGGACTGTTATAATATGGGCCACTGACTCATGACTTCCCCATTTTCCTGCATCCCCAGGGCACATACCTTACTGTATGTCATTACTGATAAGTTGTTCGAGTGACTGCTGGGGGAGAGATTTACAGAGTTTTGTGACAGTTCAGTCTGATCTTGTTCAATTTGGTCAGGAGCAGGCCCCCACGTGTTTTTGCTGATTGTGTCTAGCTCGGAACCCCCAGGGTCTTTTAAGTTGTTTTCATCTGGTTGCCTGTTCTTCTGCGGAGAGGCGAACGGGTTAAAGTTTCCTTCTACCTTGCGATGTGGTTGTGTGTTGAACTCTGTTTCAAATGATGACAGCTGTTGCGTTACTCCTAAAAGTCCTCCAACTTCTACACTGAGGATCACCCAGATGATATCTGCAAAACAGAAATTTTAGTCAGCACAATATATAATTTACACTGAAGCCTCACCACTCTCAAAAGTTGGCATACCACTTATAAGCAGGTGCGTGTAACAAAAGACCAAGTACAGTTCTCATACATGGGAGGCATCACAACAGAGTTACTTGCATGCCAGAATCCATGCTGAATGATTTGGCATTCTGAAACTTTGAAGGCAGAGAAACACTGCCACCTGTTGTTAAGTCCCTCCTTAGCACATTATGGATTATACCAACCAACATCCAACTATGCATGTATTCGATTTACTTCATCTTTGGATTGGAAGGAACAGTCAAGACTGAATCTAAAATGTGCTGACTGTGGCAATCAACAGGAAATAAAGGCAGGATAACAAATCTCACAATCGGAATCTGCAACAAAATACTGAATATGGGGTGCTCCAATCCTGTGATCTTTAAGGATACTTCAACATGTCATTGTTCAGGTTTCCTGCTTTTTCCACTTCAACAGTCAGCCAACATTCTTGCAGCCACTGTGTCGCTGGCTCTCCTTTGGGATGTCTTTTCCACTTTTAGAACTTAGAATTCCCTCAAGTCTGTTGATCCCGCTGTGGGTATAGATGCCACCATTTTGGCTACTTACAGATCAGGACTTTGAGAACTGCTATTAGTATATACAACTAATATACTAACTACACAAGAGGCAGATAAGAAATTGAATATGCATCATATAATAGTGCAGTAGACAGGTACTGCAAAAAAGTTTTCCTAAGAAGTACAAAATTAGCTTGTATTTTTAATGAGGAAATGTTAGTATGATGAGCATGATCAAACTGCCAAATGAAGGCAACCCAGTATTTTTAATTATAAAGTGAAAATGCAAAAGGGAATATTCTGAACCTACATCATCATCATCATCACATTATATTTCTATACCACCCACAGCCAAACTCTCTGGGCAGTTCGCAACATTGAGGTCACCCCTTTGCAGAATAATTACTCCATTCTATTCATGGATCACCTGAAAAAGTGAAATTCAATAATGACCTAGCTATCCTATGCATATTTTCCAGAAACAATGTTAGGGTTAGATGCTCTCATTTTCAAACACAGAATGAACATTCATGTATACCACAAGTTATCCCAGGACACAGCGGCTTGGTTCATACAATTGCCTCACTCCACCAAGGCTTATTTCAACTATGGTGGGTTTTAGTATGCACCAAAGACCACTGTGAATACTCAAGGTGTGGAGGGGAGTTGCTGGGGCTTATGATGTGAGTACCCAGTGAAGTTAGGTAGTTGCTGTACTTAAGAAACCACCCACAATCCATTCATTGTTTGGGGATTGTGGGTAGTTTGTTAACCAAGAAACAATCAACCTAGTGAGAGATTTGTACAACATCAGTAACTGGGATTGCCTGCTACAACTTGAATACTCACAACAGCTTCCTGAATGCAGCATCCACATCCAGCAATCATGCACACCAGACCAAAATCAAGAAAAATTACTAAATGTTAAGGGACTGGTGTGGTATAACTATCAGAGTGAGCTGGACTGGGACTCAGAAAATCTGGGTTCTAGTCCCTATTTGATCATGAAGTTCACTGGTTGACTTTGGGCCAGTCATGGACTCTCAGACTGACCTACTTCATAACATTGTTTTGAAGATAAAAATGGAAAGGAAGAGGAGGGCTCGGTTAGCTGCCTTGGTTCCTCACAGAAAATAAGGAAGAAAATAAATCTAATAGGTAAATAAAAAGACTGTTCTATTGCTTTAACTGACTCTTTAAAATAACTGTTGTTGAAAAGTGATGCTTTTCAAGCATTTCAAATGGTTCTGTCTAGCAGCATGTATTTCAACTGAACTCACACAGAAATTTTACTGGATTTTTTTTTTTTTTTTACAATTCCCTCCTTAACTTAGCAGGAAGTACAAACATTCTCCAAAATATCAAATCCTATTGAAAAGATATGGTCCTTCATTGTAAATCCCAGCTCCTTGCTCCTATCTTTAAAAAATACAAGAAAACAAAAGCATCACTCTGTGAATTACCTTTCTTGAAGTGACAGCTGCAGTTTCTTTAAAGACTCAATCCTATAATGTATATAAAGAAAAATGTCCTACAACACCATGCATTTCCTAACCAGCATGACCAACTAGGGCAGGGTGCTCCAGCTTTTCATACCTCGAGGGCTGCATGAGGGCTTTGACACGAAGCCCGGGGGGTGGGGGGAGCACTCAAGAAATTTCTGCAGAGATCACAGGACAGCTCCTTCTCTGAGTATAGCTCAAGCGCACTGACTGCTCCTCTAGGGTGGACCATCCCTTTTTTCCCTGTTTCTTCCACCCAGAAGCCCTCCCAGGTGATTCCCCCACTCCTCCTTTCTTCTTGGAATTGGCATGCTAAGCCTCTTGTACTTGAGCTGACAAACTCTCCCCAGCATGCCCTGCCTGCTCCTGGTGACAAATGCAAAGGAGCCAAGCTCTTGAGTACCTTTCCACTCATCAGCTGGAGAGATGAAGGGCATGCTGGGGGGAGTGCTCCTGCCACCGCTAGCCCAATCTGCTCTTTTTCTGAACCTCAGGATGGGATGGTGGCCTCAGGAGAGTTCGGCACAATCATGCCTGTGCCATCTCTGGGATCCACACTGTTAGGGGGGTGATGGGAGGACTCTGAGCAGCAAGAGGGTGACAGAACAAGGCATCAGAGGCTGCATGTGGTCTGCAGGTCATGTGTTGGACCACCCTGAGCTAAAGAATGCTGGGGGTCGTAAGACTTGTATCTGTCTGAACACATACAGGATTGTGCCCTAAAGGAAACTATCTTCAGCAATATGCCAAGTTGATCCTTTGTCTCACATTTACCTAGAGAACAGAAGGCTCATGCAGTTCACACTGCTGCTAACAATCCAGCGTGAAGTGGAAGTTGCCATCTTAAAGTGAACATTTTCATACAATTCTGTGCCTCCCTGAAATAAATCCACAATGGAGGCCCATTTAATGTGATATAAAATATTTAAAAAGAGCATTGAATCAACTCAGTCCTATTATTTTCTTATCAAATGGGCCAGTAAATGTTCGCACATACTATTCGGACATTAACAGCCCCTGCAGCACTGAAGTCAGCTCAGACATTACAAAGTAAATGGAAAGATGTGTTTCTTACCTCCATAATAGAGTCCCGTGGCAGTGCACATTCGCCACTGTCCTTGATACATTCCTGCAGTACTGGGGCTGCACATCTGAACGCTGACATCTGCAATCTCCTGAGGCTCCAATGATCGGACCATCACCATATTCACATGGCCAAACTGGTCTCCCCCAACGTATTTAAGACAAACACCTGGAGGCCACGCTTCTGTCCCTGAGATTTAGCAAAGATGTTATTAAAGCACTTGTCAGTAGAGAGACTACATTCACTCAAGATATGGCATTAATGGATATTCATTAATGGATAATATATTTATCATCAATATGTGTCATTTACTGTTGCCTTATTAATCAACCAAGGAAATGTAAGTAAATGCCTAATAAAAGACCAGTTATCTCTCCCATTTACTGTGATTAGGGTGATTACTGATTCAGATGCAATTCTTTGGTGTGTGCAAGTGTGCATGAAAGTGTGACTTTTAGATTTCCCATGAACTGACATGCCTATCCATAAAGTAAACATATCTGATGGCTCAGATATGGGCTTCTTTTTCTGGCCATGTGTTGTCAAAATTGTGTTTCCCTTACTGACATCGTATGTTGGTATAAAAACATTAATGCTAGGCTCAGGAATTGAATACTCATGCATGCAAGAAAAGCTGCTTCAGTCTTCACTCTCACATCCATACAAAATGTTACATAAATTGTGACACAGTGCCTAATACTCAATGGAGTACTTCAACTGGTATATCCAGACTTTTCCAAGTGAGTGGAGGGTCAGCGCCATGTATACTGTCCCCCACTCATACCATACCATGTTGCATTAGCATTAACAATATCTGAAAGCATTTTACTTGCACTGGCTTGACCAAAAATACAATTCTCTGCATGGGTGAAAACTCTGATAGGCTAGAAACTGTGCTCTCACAAAGTGTTCTTCTCATGGCAAATCTGAGTGGAGCACCCCTTTAGATCAAGCCAATTTAACATGACATCATTAGAAGGCAAGACTCATTGGAGAAGACAATCACGGCAAGGAAGGTTGAAGGCAGAAGACAAAAAGGAAGACCAAGCAGGAGATGGACTGACTCCATAAAAGAAGCCATAGCCTTGAAATTAAAAAAGCTGAGCAGGTATCTAGGCAGCATCAGGGCTTGTTCTGCTGGCCAAACAAACAAGTAACAGCACTGGTAGTTACAGGACTAGTCCCAGACTCTACTGTACCTGCCAGCGCATTCATGAGCACCACCCAGGAGCTCTGGGGGAAGAGCTATTTAAGAAGCGGCTCTTCCTGCCAGAAGCTGGCTCAGCAACACTGGTCTCCAGTGTGCTGAAGCTCTCTGTGGTGTCTGAATCCCACCTGCTGTTTGATTCTGTTCCTGCCCTTGGACCTTGCTCCTGCTCCTGCACCTCAGTTCTGTTTCTGCTCCTATTCCATGTGTACACCTGTCCTTTATCTTCTTGGCTTCTGACATCTGGCTTGTTTTGACTATGTTTTTGCCATCTGGACTATATTTCATTTGCTTTCCTGTTCGCTCCTGATTTGACCTTCGCTTGCTCTGGTAACAACTTGAATTTGGTGACTGGACTGTGGTTGTATAATCTATGGACTATTTATCTGGGTCCTGGTGCCTCTGTTTAACTTCCTGCAACCATGCCTTGGACCTTATAGCAGGGCTGTCATGGACAGGACATATTGGGGGGCTTTCATTCCTAGGGTAGATTTAAATCTTAAGTCCGAAACAACTTGATGATATGTAACATAAAATTCAACATAAAGTCTGAACTGAAGAGGGTGGGGCTAGTGCACCCAAGACTCAGGATCCTGGTTTAGCATGCATTACCCCTACTCTCTACCATTATAAGCCCTCACACAATCAGGTAAATACCTGAACTAGGTTGGGTGGTATATGGAAACTTCTCTCAGGACCCAAGCAATCATAATGATTATTTTGAATGGACATTATTTTCAATGTTGCCAAAGCTACAAGGCCAAGATGTTAAAAATAGTGGCTAAATAATGAAAAATCCCTGCTCTGAAAAGTTATCACTGTAACTCAGGGTCAGATTCTGATCCTGCATATGTTTTGGAGTACTAGGAATGTTCCAATGGCTTAATTTGGTGATTAATACTAACAACAGAATATGGCTTGAAACCGAATATGAAACCATGGCTTGATGCAGATTTACAAAATCTTGATGCATAGGCAATTCAGTCTCTTTAACATTAACAATCATCTGGATGCTGTAGCAAGTGAAGGACAGAAGAAATCAGGAAAGGTGTGGAATGTGCAAGAAAAAAGGAGTCTAAAGTATGATCATGTGAATTAAGTCCATCAAGTAAAAGATCTGTAGACATGCACGCACACACGTCAATATATATATAACCCTCTGTATACTTTGAGTTAAGAATACAATACTTGGTTTTCCCTTTACTGTTATTTTCTTTAAGAGTTGGTTCAAGTCCCAACTTTATAGGATGACTCAATAAGAAAGAAAGGTGTCAAAGGGCAGCAGCTGCGAGCTGAATTAACAGTAGCATCCCTTGTATATGTCCAATCACAACAGAATTGAAAATTATTGTTATTACATATAAACCCCACCTTTCTACCTTTTCCAAGGAACCCAAGGCAGCTTACAAGGCTCTCCTCCATTTTATCCTCACAATAACCCTGTGAGATAGGTTAGGCTGTGAATCAGTGACTGGTCAAGAGTCACCAGTGAGTTCCATGGCTGGGCATGGACTAGAACCTGAATCTCCCAAGCACTAGTCCCACACTCTAACCATTATATCACATTGGATCACAATACGTGAGTTAATCCTGAGAATGATTTTAGAAAAGCTATAAAAGGGAACCTAAAAACAGACAGAAGGACAATATAAGCAAAATATTCAAATGCCAACTTCCTGCACCCCACTGATGGTAATACAGTACATTTTAAAAATATATGAATTATTTTGATACTATACCAACAATATCACAAGGGCATATAGTAAAATGAGAATGTAAAATCCAGTTTTTCTGCAATATGGGGCAGGGTGTTTTGTTTTGTTGTTTGTTTGTTTGTTTGTTTGTTTGTTTTTGCAGCTTTAACATGATTAGAAGGATGAGGGTAAGGAAATTATTTTACTCCTCAGCATGTTTAGGACTAGAAAATAATTCTGTCAGTACACCTATCTCTTCAAGAAGATACCAAACATTTTTCAAATGCAACTGAGAACAGCAGAATTAGATATGTTTAGCCTGGAAAAGAGCACATAAAGAGTAATATGACAGTGGTCTTCAAACAGAAAAGCTCTCACACAGAAGATAAAGCAAAGATACGCTCTGTTGCTCCATAGGCAAGGCCAGAATCAATGGTTAGGATCAAAAAGAAATGGCTTATAGATCAACATTAGAAGAATTTTAATAAGAGTGCAGTTCACAGTGGGATAGCCTGCTTCAGGAGGTGGTTTCTTCTTCACTGAAAGAATTCAAGGAGACTGGATGGCCATCTGTCAAGGATGTTCTGGCTACACATAGAAACAGAAATAGAGCAAGCCAGAAGGGGCCTCCCGGGCCATCTACTCTGACCCCTGGCTCCAGCCAGCTCTGCTCATGACATGCCCACCACGTGCATGTCTAGCCTATCTTTGAACACCCTCACCGATGGAGCCTCAACCACCTCCTGTGGAAGCCCATTCCATACCCTCAGGGTCCTAACTGTCAGGAAGTGCTTCCTGGCATCTAAATGGAACCTCGGTTCCCTCAGCTTTGCGCCGTTGGAGCGCGTCCTGCCTTCCTCTGCAGCAGAGAACAGGTCCCTACCCATCTCCATGTGACATCCCCTCACATACCTGTATGTCGCCAACATATCCCCTCTGAGTCTCCTCTTCTCCAGGCTGAAGAGACCCAGTTCCCTCAGTCTCGCCTCATACCCCATCCCCTGCAAACTGGCCACCAACCTTGTGGCCCTATGCTGCACTGACTCCAACCTGGCTGTATCCTTCCTGTAATGAGGGCCCCAAGATTGAACACAATACTCCTGTTGCAGGCACACCAGAGTCATATAGAGTGGTAGTAATACCTCTCTCAATCTAGAAGCCACACTTCTGGCTATGCCACCAAGGGTGGTGTTCGCCTTCTTAACCACCCCATCACACTGCTGACTCATGTTCAGCCAGCAGTCAACCAGCACCCCGAGGTCCCTTTCACAAGTGCTGCTCTCCAGCCACTTGTCACCTAACCAGTACTTATGACACCTATTCCTATGTCCCAAGTGCAAGACCTTGCACTTATCCACATTGAACGCCATCCTGTTGTCTCCTGCTCACTTCCATAGTCTGTCCAGATCCTTTTGGATCTGGAGTACCTGCTCCTCAGTTGTGGCCACTGCTCCAGTTTTAGTATTGTCTGCGAATTTGATCTGCAGACTGTTCACCCCTTCTTCCATGTCATTGATAAAAAGATTAAACAGGATCGGTCCCAGGACTGAGCCCTGGGGGACCCTGCTTGTCACTGGCTGCCATCCCTATGATACCCCACTAATGGTTACTCTCTGCTTTCGGTCAGTCAACCATGCCCTAATCCACCGGACAGTGCTTTGGTGTATCCCGAAACTCCTCAGTTTCTCCACCAGGGTATCATGGGGCACTTTGTCAAAGGCCTTGCTGAAATCCAGGTAAACCACATCCACTGCATCCCCTCCATCTAGCCACCTCGAAACCTTGTCATAGAATTCCACAAGGTTTGTCTGACAGGACCTGTTTTAGCAGAAACCGTGTTGTGTGGCTGCCAGCCTCCCTTCCCTATCTAGCATCATTAGATCTCTCACTGTTATTATTTTTATTTAAGATATTTGTATGCCGTCATTTGCAAGAGCCTCCTTCTGCAACGGGCCTCCTCCTCCCGGTATACCTTTTTGTCTATTTGCCCCAGTATCCATTTCCTATGGAGGTTCCTCTTGCATCTAATCCCTCTAAGCACCTCCTTTCGCATCAATGGCGGCACTCTCCTTTGCCTCCCCACCTTACTAACTAGAGGTATCGTCAAGGCTTGCACCTCCAAGACCTCCCTTTTGAGTGCCATCCACCCCTCCTCAACTCGCTTGCCTTCCAGTAACCTATCCCAGGAGACTTTCCCCAGTCTGGCCTTCAGTTGGCCAAAGTTGGCCCTCTTGAAGTCCCAGCTTCAAGTGTGGAAAGTGCTCGACCTGCTGCACATCCCCATTCCC